AATAAAAAAATTATTAAAAAAAAAACAACTAAAGGATACTAAGCATTAATAACTGAACTAAATCCTTTCCCCTGCTCTTCAAAATAGTTTAAATGGTTTTTAAAACTCAAGTAGACTATCAATGTAGCCTACTTCTATGTTACATTGATACTAAGATACAAATATTTCTACACTTTAACATCTCTGAAATTGGGATGCATCATACCATCTATGGCATATTATAGTTTAATTGGCAGCATTTCTTCTTTCTAGGTGGTACATAAAACAATGACGGTAGATCTTACAACTGATGACATTTTAGATTTGATGAAACACTGACCATATCATGTCATGATTTTACTATCTAGACTACTTAATCCATTTTATTTTATTTTGTTTATTTTTTTAAGTAGGCACCATACCCAAAATGGGGTGTGAATTCATGACCCTGAGATCAAGAGTCCCATGCTTTACTGACTGAGCCAGCCAGGTGCCCCCCACTTAATCCATTTTAAATGGAAAGTAGTGTGACATAATCACGCACACCACACTTAACGAACTTCACTGAGTAGCTAATTATTACACAGGAGAGTGACAATGAGGTGCTTGGGGAAAATGAAAAGGCTTTGGAGAAGACAAACCTGGGTATGAATTTTGGTTCCATCATATATCATGTAATCATAGGGAAGAGTCTTAGCTTCTCTGAGCTCCAGTTTCCTCACCTATAAAATGGGTACATCGATCCTGCAGAGTTATGTGAATGAATGACCACACACAAAGTGGCAGGTAATTAGTAATTACTCAAGTATCCATCCCATCTTTTCTTGACATATGCCTATATGGCTTAATCCAATAAACAATCTATAGAGAAGATTCACTGAACCACTGAGTAAGTTGATTTGGGACCCTTGATGAACCAGGTTATCATGTGTACATAAAAAAAAGTTGGCAGATAAGGCAAAAAACAAAATCACTTTTCTTACCTGGAGTTTCTTGTGTTCTCTGGATAGTTTTCTTTGGGACTGTTTGGCTTAAAACAGTTTGTGAAGATGGTTCATCCTCTAAAGAACAGGCATGACTTTTGTCAAAATTCAGAATATATGATGTAGGTACAGATTATGCACCTTAACAGCAATATATAAGCAGAAATGCAAGTAATTCATTTCTTTAGAAATGTGTAATTAGATCTACCAAAACTTAGGAATTTGGGTATAACTACTCAAGGCAATATAAAAAATAAACTCACTTTTGATGGTTTACAATAAGAGTATATTACTTTAGAAATTTAAAAGATGGGCCACAGTTTCAGAAATGATGTGGAAGAATGGAGAAGTGTGAAAAATGTTTAGAACCTTATAGATTTACTAAAACAGAAATAAACCCTTTATGTATTAAAAAAAAAGTTAGCTTATATAACTGCACTAGGCTCTGTGGCAGAGTCAATACAATGTAACCTATTTATTGCCTACCATGTGCAAAGAGGTCTTCAGCTATAGGAGATAAAATTAACCTAACTTCAAAGATGATGGGATCTTTGTCTTCAGGAGGTTTCTAATCTTAAAAGAGATAAAACTAAGTGGGCTAAACTCTCTTGAGTAGCTACACCCAATAGCAACTTACATCCCTTTAACATAAAGTTTTCAAAATCAACGCATCTTCAAATGTGTCAGCACTTCATGTGTCAGGTACAAGCATTGCCTATTAACTCTGCTGAGCTGAAAATCCACCTCTCCATATCTATCAATGGGCTACCACTAACTATGTAATCCCATTGTGATTAAAACCCCCGGATTTTTAGCTCACAGGTGCCTTACATGGGGCTAACACGAAACTTCACCTGTGACTCAGTGTTAGATGGGGGAGAAGGAGGAGGGTGGGAGAGGATGGCTTAAGGGAGTTGCTTCACCTGTGACTTACCTAAAACTATACACTCGCTTTGCCAGTATCCTCTCGGACCCATTTAGTGGAAAACTAATTAAAAATCTCGTTTTGTCGAGCTACTTAACCAATGAGATCACATCGAGGGCCCCGAACGTGGCGAAGTTTTACAGAGTCCACCATACTTGAGAAAGAGCTCAAGAAGTTTATCAGGCATTAGGGATCCTCAAGCTCAGGATAACTGCCTTACCGCACCTCAGTGTATCTGGGTGGGGTCTCCAGTCAACTCACCAACGAAGCGCGCTCGCTCGCTCGCGCTCTCTCTCTCTCGAAACGCCCACTCACCAAATTTCCCCTCCCTCTCCCCCCGACAAGGGTGGCTATGGAAAAGGGCTGGAAGGTTACATCGGAACCATTAACTCTCAGCCGGGGGCTTCTGGCCTCTGAGAGTTAGAGGAAATGGAAGTGGCTTTGGTAGCAACATCCGCAGGACAGAGGGAACCGAAGTGAAACCGAGCCTGAAGTGCTTCCCTGTCCCACCAGCACCCAACTCGCCACCCCCTCCCCGTGAAGGCCTGAGAAAGTGGCAATTCGGAGCCCCTTAGGTCGATGCCCAGGGATGCGCAGAGCACCCCGCTCAGGTCGCTCCGCCCGACCGCCTTTCCAGCCCTCCCGCCTCGGGTTGAGGCGGACCCCGCGTGGGGGCGCCAGTCCATCCACGCAGCGGAGCCACCCGAGCCCGGGCGGGGATGAGCTGGGCGGAGATGAGCTGCGCGGGGACGCACGCCCGCCCGGCACGCGCACACACTCCGCTTGCGCCCGCGCGCTGCGCTCGTTTCCCGGCTCACGGCTGAGACTGTTACCTCCGGCGGCCTCACCTTCAGAGGAATGAGAGTCCCGTAACCCTCTCCTGGTCGTAACCGGAGACGGGTGGAGCAGGGACTGGTGTGACTGCTGCTGTTGCTGCTGCTGCAGGCGGGTGGTCCTTCGCGTGTTCATCTCCTCGGCTCCCGGGAGTCGCGGCTGCCTCCGCTGCCGAGACCGAAGGTAGTAGGCGCTTTCTCTCACTTCCTCTTTCGCAGAATCAGGCCGGAACTCTTCTAGCGGGACCCGTCTTCTCGCCGGGGACTTTTCTTTGGCCACTCGGGGCTCGAAGTCGCCGTACACTTCTGGCGGCTCTTCTGAGAACCTCACTTCCCGCCGGCCGTGACGCGACGGCGAAGGAGTTCCGTACGCAGGCGCGTCACTGCCGCCGCCATTTTGAGGGGCGAGCCGGAGCCTTCCCTCCCGTAGGGGGGCCCGGGGTGTGACGTACATCCCCCATCCTTCCCTCCCCGGCTCCGCCCGCCGCCCGTCCCCCGCCATAGTTGTTGACGTAGCTTGAGTCGATCGCGAAGGTTGTTTTGGGGTCCTTAGATTCTCCTGCCGTTGGTGGCGACGACTCTTCGGGGTATTGGGCGGTGGTCGTGGCGGTCAGGGAGGCAGTTGAGAGTCGCCGGGGCCACCGCCTGCGTCGTCGCTGCTGTGCTGCAAACCGGCCTCTGGGCCCATGGTGTGTCCTGAGGGCTGTGGGAGAGGCAGTGCCTCTGCCGGGTCAGCTGTTGCGGGTCACTCCCGCCTCTTGGCTGAAGGCACCAAAGAGGAGGAGAAGAGGGAGGACGACGTCGCTGTCCTTGGCCTTGGGGGAAGGAGGGAGGGAGGGGACGACGGAGAAGGGACAACTGGCTAGGCAGACTGCCTTTTCTAAACCCAGCTGCTCGTGGCAACTGTTGCCCGCACGCAGGAGACGCCGGTCCTGGCCCCCGGTTCCGAGTCTCTTGAAAAGGCCGAGCCAAAGTCGGGTGGAGAAGTTTCTGTCCTCGCCCCCAGGCTGTTGCGCAGTTTTCCTGGAACCTTTTTGGCCGACTGCTAGCTTAGCCATGCCTTTCTAAGTGTTTCTAGTAGGAGTGATGGTTTAAAGATACTTCAAGTGCCATCTTTTCTTGGAAAAATTTTTAGTTTTAAGCTCCTTATGAAGGCAGCCAGTTTTAGTTTTTAAGTCGCCGGTTGAAAGTGCAAAATCGTATGTACAGACACGGGTGGATTTACATTTGCAGAATTTATGCAGTCTTATTCCTGGCTTTCGTATAAAAACTCTATTCCAGTAGCACTGTTCAGAAACCTTATTAGGGCTTTGTTATGGACTTTGAGAAATAAGCAAATACTTTGATTAAATAAGAGCAATGTAATTTTAACTTGTGATCCATTATTTTGATTTTGGGTATGATTTGATCTACTGAATTTTACTTAGGGTTTCCTGCCTTTAATTTACCGAATAAGAAAACATGGTAGGGCGCCTGGGTGGCTCAGATGGTTAAGCATCGGCCTTCGGCTCAGGTCATGATCCCACGGTCCTGGAATCGAGTTCCGCATCGGGCTCCCTGCTCCTTGGGGAGCCTGCTTCTCTCTCTGCCCCTCCCCACCGTCTCTCCTGAATAAATAAATAAAATCTTTAAAAAAAAAAGAAAACAGGGTAAGAGCTATTTGTTTCACCTCTCTATACCATATTTACAGATGTGGTTAATTGCAGTTACTTAGCCAGATTAAACATGGAGAGGGTCAATATTTGGGAGAAAGATTAATATTTACCTCAAACATACACTTTTTTTTTTTTTTAAGATTTTATTTATTTGACAGAGACACAGCGAGAGAGGGAACACAAGCAGGGGGGAGTGGGAGAGGGAGAAGCAGGCTTCCCGCTGACTAGGGAGCCCTATATGGGGCTTGATCCCAGCAATCTGGGATCATGACCTGAGCCCATGGCAGAGGCTTTAAGGACTGAGCCACCCAGGCGCCCCCACACTTGTTTTCTTGAAGGGCTTTCTAGAATTGAATTTAGTCAGTAGATTTAAGAAATTGTAATTTTGGGAACCAATTACAATGAATGATTCTGAAAACTCTGAAGATGTTTATTTCAGGTATTTTAAATCACCTTAGAATGTTTTTCAGCGACTCACCGGACAAAATTTTCAATTTAATGAAATCCTCAGGTGTATTGTTTTCACTAATAGTTCATAAATTTGGCTGCAGACACAATTACATATTTTAGAGTCACCCAGATTTTAGCCTGTCAGGAACTTAGTTTTGTTTATAATATACAACATAGGCAAAGAAACTGGAGGAAGAGTGACAAAGGAGATGCTACTAATTTTTTAATCTTTCATTTTAAGGGAAAATTAAAAGCGTATTCTCCTTTGCCAGCTCGGGTTAAATGATAGTGTTTGGAAAATTTGTGGGACTTAATTCTTCTCTGATAAAATACTGAAAAGATTGATACTTGGTAATACCAGGCTTTGATTTTAAGTAATGATTTCTCTATAAGGTGCCTATTATATTGCTCATTATTAACATAATAGAAGTTTCATAGTGTAATTACTACAGAATATAAAACTATAGTATTAATATACAAAGTTCGTATTATGAACATTAATGCATATTTAAGTACCTCTTTAAAACATTTACCAGTACAGTTTTTTTTTTTTTAAGATTTTTTATTTATTTATTTGACAGAGGGTGAGAGAGGGAACACAAGCAGGGGGAGCGGGAGAGGGAGAAGCAGGCTTCCCACCGAGCAGGGAGCCCCATGCGGGGCTCGATCCCAGGACCCTGGGATCATGACCTGAGCCGAAGGCAGATGCTTAATGACTGAACCGCCCACGTGCCCCACCAGTACAATTCCTATGTAGAAACTTGGACACAGACTTTTAAACTTAGGTTTGGGGACATATTAAAAAAAGAAAGGACAAGAGGTTCTATATATTACTGAACGATCAGAGAAGATGATCTTCATGTTATTGAATAATCAGTACTGTGTTATACAAAATCCTTGTAAAGGCTTAGGAAAGAAACTAATGGCTTTGGCTTTCCAAAGAAATCAGGAATCTTAAAATCAGAGGCGCATGGTAACTTTAACGTTAACACATATATTTGCTTAGGATTTTCCCTCTTCAGGTAATAAGAATACATATTCCTAGCTCTGCCATACCTGTCTCCCACACCTAGCAACCTTACAAATAACAACTTTTGTTACTGTGAGGTATAAAGCTAAACTCTTGTCAAACCAGATTTTCTGCTGTAGATGTTTTCCAAACTACAAGGGTGGCCCAAAAGAGGTGACATTAGAGGCAGTAGATTCATAGCCAATAGTAGAAGGGACTTGCTGGGTCACCAATACCAAGGAGGGGCATGAGCTCTGGATGTTAGACAGTTACCTCGGGAATTAGAAATATATAGAGGAATTCAGTGGATCACAAGAGAAGACAGGTAAGAGAAGAAATGATTATAACAAGGAATTTAATTCATATATTTATCAAATATCTGTGTTGCCACAGCATAGATGTTTGATAAATGTATGGATTAAATTAATGTGTATTCTTTACCCTTAGGGAATTTGTCATTTATTAGGGGAAAGATATACACAAAAAATAATTCAGATTAAATAACTGGCATCAATTTATATACCTAGCTGTTATCCCTAGGTCTAGAAATCTAGTGTTGTTGACAGTGGATTTCTAAAGCAGCTATTCTAAAGGAAACATTTTATTTTAAAATAATGTAATTTTTGTACATGAGTTTGTTTAGGGTAGGGTAAGCACAAATCCATTTATTTACTTAGCATCTATCAATTCTTTGTGCATATCACATTTCTGGTCAGGTAGGGAAAGAACTTTATATCTTAGAAAGGCAACATTGTTATTAATAAGTTAAAGATAATTAAAATATTAAGAGAAAGTAAAGAAATAGTAGCTAACTCCATTTATTCCCCATTCTCACAAGTGATAGGAAAAATATTTTAAAGACTGTTAATACAAATGAAAGTGTCTAGCTAGAAATGTTATACTGAAATTTTAAAAAGTTAAGTTCGACAAAGTGAATGGGATATATTCTTCCACTTATTCTTTGTTGAATTAGAAATTGCAGTCAATTATTAAGCAGCATTTAGGAGTGTTCCCAAATTCTGTGATTTCTGTAGAAAGAATGAGAAGATGAAGGCACCAAAAATCACCACTACATGAAGAATCATTAACCAAATAAATATTTGAGCTTCTGCTATGTACTAGACAAACCCTGTTCTAGGTGCTGAGGATATAGCAGTGAAAGACCAAAATACAACCCTCCTTGCCTTGGAATTGACATTCTATGGGAGTCAGATAAAATCAAAGCAAGTAAAATAGTGTATTGGTCAGAAATGTTATGGAAAAAATGAGGAAAGGAAAAGTGAGCTTTAAGAGGAATTTCTTCTGTGTTGTTTTGTGTTGGTGTTGGTCAGGAACAGGAATTTTAGACTTACTTGATTGCCCATGACCGATCATGTGTTCTAGGATAAATTCCTTGCCCTTTCTCAATCTTCACATTTATAGAATTAATCAAAATAATAGCTATTTTTTATTCATCATTTACTACTATCGTTTAGCAGATACCCTTACCTTCATTAATCAGCACGTTTACTCACAATAACCTTATGAGGTATGTAAGAGCCTTTTTCCCATTTGACGCGAGCAAACTGAGGTTTGGATTAAGCAACTCGTTTGGGGGGACACACCTAGTAAAAGTAGAGGCTGAGTTCCAAGTCACGTCTGACTGGTGTTTGCTATTACTGGGTAGTGCCCCTCACTGAGTTGGTTCCACGGGTTGTTCCAGCCTGTAAATTTGTAAGTGCTAGAGTTGGTGGTTGTCTTGCAAAGGTGCGTGCCTTCCTGTGGGTCTGCAGGGGCGCTGGACGCGGGCGGTTCTGTTGCGCGTACTCACCACGCCCCCCAGCCCGGGCTCTGGGTGGGGAGTAGAGGGAGGGGGGTGGGCCGACTACCAGTCCCAGCATTCCGCGGGCTCCTCCCCTCCCCACGGAGGTTGTATCACGTGGACAGGGACTGGGAAGACATTCTGATCGGCTGCGTCGGAGGAGGGGTGCAGCCCGCATCGTGGAGCCGAAAGAACACCCGAAGGGCTTCCCTGACGTTGACGGTTGACGGTTTAAGACCCTGCTAGAATTTGTAAGTAGATAAAATGTATATACAACTTTTCCATGTGCTAATATTTTCTCAGATATCTTCTTTGGAAAGATTTTTCCAAAATGATTCCTCCCCACCCCCACCTCGCTACCGCAAAAAAACCTTAAACGGAGCAGTTTGGGGGCATATTTTTGTTTTGGAGTAAAAGAGGAGAAATCAAATCCTATAAACATTAAACAGATTAAGGTGGGAATAAATGTTTGGTTTGGACTTTGAGACAGGAAGCTCAAAATATAAACGGGAAATCGGCTAGTGCAGGTGGCGATTACTCCCTTTACCTGCGTGCCTAACAGGATCTCGTTATTCGTCATCTTTATCCTTATAAAATAGTACTCTCCCCCCACCTTTTTTAGCCTTAATGGTGCTAAAAAGGGCTAAGTTTGAAGTTTTGGTAAGACCGTACAATTATTACTTTGTTTACTTATTCTGTATATATTTTCAGTTGCATTTCATACCCGTTGTGAAAGTTTACCCCTTTTTCCAT